CCTTTCCCAGCAGTCCACGGTGAAAGCGGCGGCGCGGTCGACCTGGGCCAGCGCCTTGCACACCTGGCTCTGAGTCTCCATTATGAGAAGCTCCATGCGACTTCGCATGTCTCCGCCCCAGTCGCGCAGCTCTCGCAATCCGCTCACCGGAGGAGCCATGAAGTGCTCGCACCGCCTTGCCAGATCTTCCTCGTCCTCCTTTCCCCACGGCTTTTCCCGTTGTAATTGCTGCTGCTGCTGCCGCCGAGGCTGCTCCTTCATCTCCGCCCACCGCACCAGACCCAGCCCGGCCAGCACCGCCGTGGCTCCCGCAGTCCAAGCAGATCGGCACCTGGGCTCGCAGGCGAAGGGTGGGAGTGTGCAGCGATCGACGCCGATCGCTGCCACCCACCATCGCCCCAACGGGAAGAACCGCCCGGCAGCGATTCCAAGGAGCCCGAAGCGAACATCCTGGAGCAGCACGGGCTGGCCCAGAGGCTTAAACCCCGGGAGCCCAGGTGCCGAACCCCGCACAGCAGAAAAGACATGACAGCCGGTGCCCAGTTCCTTCTGCAGCCATCCGGATCAGCGTCCGGGCTCGCAGGCAAAGGGTGGGAGTGCGCAGCGCATTTTCCTGGCTTGGCCCCGATCCGGACGGCTGCAGAAGAACTGGGCACCGGCTGTCATGTCTTTTCTGCTGTGCGGGGTTCGGCACCTATGCTCCCGGGGTTTAAGCCTCCGGGCCAGCCCGTGCTGCTCCAGGATGTTAGCTTCGGGCTCCTTGGAATCGCTGCCGGGTGGTTCTTCCCGTTGGGGCGATGGTGGGTGGCTGCGAGCCTGGAAGAGGTGGTGAAATGCAGAGCAATACCTCGTGGGGAAGGAGTCCGCCGTGGCTCCCGCAGTCCAAGCGACGCCGATCGCTGCCACCCACCATCGCCCCAACGGGAAGAACCGCCCGGCAGCGATTCCAAGGAGCCCGAAGTGAACATCCTGGAGCAGCACGGGCTGGCCCAGAGGCTTAAACCCCGGAGCCCAGGTGCCGAACCCCGCACAGCAGAAAAGACATGACAGCCGGTGCCCAGTTCCTTCTGCAGCCGTCCGGATCAGCGTCCGGGCTCGCAGGCAAAGGGTGGGAGTGCGCAGCGCATTTTCCTGGCTTGCTTACCTTAGCTCAGTGGTTGGGGGGTCAAACAACCCTTTCACAGGGGTTTTGATGGTGGTGCAATACAGAAAAACGAGCGCAGCCCTCGCCATCCGGAATGAATGGTGCTGTTGTGGCGGTGGGGGGGGAGGGGGCGGCAGAAGCGGGAAGAAGCGGCGTTTGCGATGGCTGGAAGCTGTGGGAGTGAAGCACAACTTTCATTTGTACGGCAGCAGCATTCCGCCTTGGTATATTTGTGTCAGGAGTGGCGCAAGGCAGCCTTTGTTTCCTGCTGCCTGGGACTCAGAGTGGTAAATGGCGTCTGATCCGGAGAGCTGCTGGATTTTGCTCTCTAATCCGGATGCCAAATCGGCCCCCTGCAAACTCTCGTCTCTCGAGGAGCGCTCCCTGAAGCGGGGCTGGAAACTTTGGTTGGACTGCTTGAGAGAGGAGAGCTTGCAGGGGGGCGATCTGGTGTCTGCAATGGAGAGCGGCATCCAGCTTTTTCTCTCTGCTATAAGAGCGCTGTAAGAGCGGCAGCCCTCATCTCCTAATGCTTGGGACTCGGAGTGGTAAATGGTGACTGGTCCGGAGAGCAGCTGGATTTTGCAGTCCCAAGCATTAGGAGATGAGGGCTGCCGCTCTTACAGCGCTCTTACAGCGGAGAGAAAAAGCCGGATGCCGCTCTCCGTTGCAGACACCAGATCCCCCCCTGCAAGCTCTCCTCTCTCAAGCAGTCCAACCAAAGTTTCCAGCCCCGCTTCAGGGAGCGCTCCTCGAGAGACGAGAGTTTGCAGGGGGCCGATCTGGCATCCGGATTAGAGAGCAAAATCCAGCTGCTCTCCGGATCAGACGCTATTTACCGCTCTGAGTCCCAAGCAGCAGGAAACAAAGGCTGCCTTGCGCCGCAAATATAGCAAGGCAGAATCCTGATGCTGCACTTTCAGCAGACAGATGAGGGCTGCCTTGGCCATCGGCTGGCGCAAATATACCAAGGCGAATGCTCATGCCGCACAAGTTCAAGTAGTGCTTCGCTCCCACACTTCTTCCGGCCCTCAGTCTCTCAGGGAGATGCTTGACTTCCTCTCAGCCCCAAGACACTGGCTGGCCCATGAGATGAGAGAGAGAGAGAATGAGAGAGAAAGAGAGAATCAGAATGAGACAGAGAGAGAAAGAGACAAAGAATGAAAGAGAGAGAAAGACAGAATGAAAGAGAATGAGAGAAAGAGACAGAGAGAATCAGAGAGAGAGAGTGAGAGAGAGAGAATGAGAGACAGAGAAAGAGACAGAATCAAAGAGAACCAAAGAATCAGAGAGAGAATGAGAGAGAGGGAGAGAAAATGAAAGAGAATCAGAATGAGAGAATCAGAATGAGAGGGAGAGAGTGGGGAGAGAGAGAAAGAGGGGGAGAGAGAAAGAGAATGAGAGAGAAAGAGTGGGAGAGAGAGAAAGAGAAAGAGCGGGAGGGAGAAAGAGAAAGTGGGGGGGAGAGAAAGGGGGACAGAGAGAAAGAGAGAATGAGAGAGAGTGGGGGGGAGAGAAAGAGAGTGGGAGAAAGAGAGAGAGAAAGGGGGGAGAAAGAGAATGAGAGAGAAAGAGTGGGAGAGAGAGAGAAAGAATGAGAAAGAGGGGAGAGAAAGGGAAAGAGTGGGGGAAAGAAAGAATGAGAAAGAGAGGGGGAGAGAGAAAGAGAATGAGAGAGGGGGAGAGAGAAAGAGAGAATGAGAAAGAGTGGGAGAGAAAGAAAGAGAGGGAGAGAGAGAGAAAGCAAAAATGAGAGAGAGAGAAAGAGAGAATGAGAGAGAAAGAGTGGGAGACAGAGAGAGAGAGAGACAGAGAGGATGGAGAGTGCCTGAAGGACCCCATCCCGTACTGGGAGTCCAGGTGCTTCAGCAAGCAGGGCACTGGATTCGTATTAGTGGTCTGCGAAATTTAAAATTATGAAGTTGGTGGTCCCTGAGGTCCAAAAGGTTGGGGACCCCTGGCCTAAGACCATCGGAAAACACATATTTTTGATGGTTTTAGGAATAACTTTATCGTTGGGGGTCACCACAACATGAGGAACTGTATTAAAGGGTCGCGGCATTAGGAAGGTTGAGAACCACTGCCTTAGCTGCTTGCCTTGCTTCGCTTGCCTGAATCCATTCCATCAGCAAGCAACTCCCTGCCTACAACCAAGCAGGCAGGGAGTTGTGGACTTCAACTCCCAGAATTCCTCAGCCAGCAAAACAAAGCTGGCTGAGGAATTGTGGGAGTTGAAGTCTACAAGTCTTAAAGTTGCCAAGGTTGGAGACCCCTGTTCTATTGGGTACGTAAGTTTTTTTCCCCTTTGGGATCTTTAAAAAAAAATAGTTAATTGGGTTTTTTTTAAGTTCTTTTTTAGACCTAGCCATTTAAAGTTTAGGAAGTTTTAAATTTAGCTTTCATATAAAAATAAAAATAAAATAAAATAAAATAATATTTGTGCAGCTTTCTGAGATTTAGTGTGTTTCTGTAGTGTTTCACTCTAACTACACAAACACACAAAATCTCACAAAGCTGTATGTGGAATTTTGTGTGTGTAAAGTGTGAAAGTTGGGTTTTGGGGCTTTTTGTGGCTGTGTGAAGTTCCTGCTTGTTGCAGGGGCCATTTTGGGTCTAGCACAGCTACTTTTACATTGTGGATGAGCCAGTTGTGTTGTGTTGTGTTGTGTTGTGTGTGTGTAAAGCGTGAAAGTTGTTTTTTGGGGCTTTTTGGGGCTGTGTGAGGTTCCTGCTTGTTTCAGGGGCCATTTTGGGTCTAGCACAGCTGCTTTTACATTGTGGGTGAGCCAGTTGATGTTTTTTTTAATTTTTATTTGGTGTGCGTTGGAAGAGGGGTAGTCTTATACGGCGAGTATAGCCCAAACCCTATATTTTAACAGGAAAAGTAGGGGGTCGTCTTATACACCCAGTCGTCTTATACGCCGGAAAATACGGTACCCTGCAGGAAATATTACACATGTCCTGAACAAGCCTCCAATAAATAATATTCTGAAAGTGCTTGCTATTCGTCAATAGGATAATACACAAACATAATTATTGCATTGATTTAATAACACTACTTGTTGAGAAAATAATTGTAAAAACTGGTTCCACATTGATTTTCAAAAGCAGACTGAAAAGCCATAAAACTACACAAGTTTCTGCTCAATTTAATTCTGCCATATATCTCTATTTAACATCAATGGTGGTTTCTTATATATAATATCTCTATAGATATTTATTTTCCAGTTGAGCTAAAAAGTAATAAAGCAGGCACAGCTGCCACCTACAGGCTACATCATAAGCAGACCTTAAAATCCAAAATGGGTTATTTGGCTTTATAACATTTCATAACATAAAATTTTACTTAGGACATAAAAGGCTATATGAAGGTTTCCTCAGCAAGATTTTAAGACTACTGCAATAACAGTTCAAGGAATCTGTTATATGAAGATTTTTTTTTTCTAGGAAAGAAAATACTTCATATAAATAATGCAGGGTCAATTTAGGGGAGGCAATAATACACATATTTATGGAGAGGATATAATTGGTAAGACTTGCATTCTTTTACAATCTGGCCCGCATAGAGTGAATAATGTAGACGTTGCAGTTCATCATTCTGTAAATATGCCGCTATAGGCAAGAAAATGGATATGTTGATGTAGCCAATTTATCTTCTTTTTGCATATTTGTCCCATTGCCATCTCATCTTCAGACACAGAACATGAATGCAGTTTTGATCATATGCTTAGCTATGATAAGACTTTTAAAGTTCAGGACCTAATCCTACTTCATCATATCTCCTTTAACACTTCACTCAGACAAAATAAATTCACGAGAAAATTTAAATTGGTCAACTTAAAAAAAACAAGTACAAAACTAAAAAATTAATAAATATGATAAGTGGAGAACTTCCCTTATAGCTGCCACTACCATTTCTCTGCAAGCAAAAAGTCAGATATTGAAAGAAAAACTGGTAAGTGGTTCATGTTTTGTGGTTACTGTACAGTTAAGAGGATTACAGATTGTTAAACAGACACTGAATCAACATGTATTTATTAATGTGATATTATCTTATTTGATCTGAAGGAGTCTTGACTTGCAAAGTATGAGAAATTGAACCCTTTGAAGACATGGTACCTCTTCATCATGCATGATGACCACCTCTGGTGTCCACAGTATAGAGTTTGAGATGCACAATCTATACATGTATAAAATATATTTTAAGTTAAGCTTGTCTCTTAGTGACTTCATGGACATATATCCATGCAGGGTTTTCTGACAACAGTACAGGAGGCGTTTCCGTTGCCTTCCACCAATTTTGTTTTGTTGTTGTCAATCCACACAGGGCGGCCAAGCAGTTAAGATGCTGGGCTTGTCGACCAGAAGGTTGGCAGTTCAAGACCCAAGTACCACATGATGGGATGAGCTCCTGTTCTTGCCCCAGTTCCTGTCAACCTAGCAGTTCGAAAGCATGCAAAGCCAAGTAGATAAATAGGTATCACTTCGGTGGGAAGGCAACAGCATTCCATGCACCTCGGCATATAGTCATGCTGGCAACATGAACACAGAAGTGTCCTTGGATAACACTGACTTCCTCAGGTAAGAAATGGTGATGAAACACTGCCCCCTAGAGTCAGGCGGGGGGAAAACCTTTAATCTATAGACTAGCTCCCAGTCCTGGTATTCTATCCAAGTACCCAGCAGGCACAATCAACTTTGGTTTTGAGGCTTACGTGTATAGTTTCATGTAACTCAATATAAAATCATGATCCTACTGGGTTCCAGGAGTTGTGGTGATTTTGAGTTTTCTAGCTGGACACAAGAAATCAAATTTGCTTGACCCACATGATACTGGGGGCAGAATTACTTGGCAGTGCAAGCTAACTGCCGCTCACAATTTGGGATAAGATGCACAAGCCATACCTGTATGGGACCCCAGTATCAGTAACAGATGCATTAGCTACAGTCTTTTGAAACAGCACAAGTAAGAGGATTTTATGTTATTAATGTTGAGAGGTAACAAAGCATCACTGATGCCATCTGCTTAATGCCTCACAGCATTATCATCTTGGCAATATGTAATTGACAACAGAGAAATTAAAACAAGTGGCCTCTGTTCCCTCATCTGATTCCACTGACTCTTGCTTCACCTTTTCTTTTCGCAATTCTTATTCGTTTGACCCTTTCCTATTTGTACACAATGCACATTTGGATGCATGACAGCAAGCTAGAAAAATGATTGGCAAAGAATGCCAAAATGAATTCTTGTTCTGTTTTCAACAGGGTGACAAATTCCACTGCTGCAGTAAAAATTTCTTATGATGAACTCTTCTGACTCTCTTCTATGGGACTACAAATATAACTACTGTGTACTGTCCTTGAATAAAACTTGGACGTTGATGGAGAAATAGTAGTCATTTTATGTTAGCTGAATCGGCTTAATATAAAGAGCCTATTATTTTTCCACTGGTGTTCAAGTACCATTTCTAAGCAATTGTTAAGAAAATGTATGTGTATATAGTAAATACTTCAGCAAAAATACTCCCAGTATAGTTCACTAAAAATAATCATTTAAATTTGATTTCCTATGGATCAGTTATAGCTAAAATAACATTGAAGAAATTGACTTATATCTTTTATTCACCTCTAGAATTGTTGATCATGCACCTTAATCTGATTTTTAGTAGAAACCAGAAAAACTAATTTATCTTCCCTCCCTTCACTCTCCAAAAAATCAAGGCAATTACAACTACTTTTTTTGTTGTTGTTTTTGCTGTTCTTTCTACCAATTCAGCCATGCTGCATCTCCTTCACATTTTCTGTTCCTGGAAAGTTCTTATGACAAAGAGCCCTGAAACAATTAATACAGAACCTACTGCTTTTTTAGTCCATATATCTAGAATCTCCCACCTTGGGAGAGAAGAAAATCTGTGAACTTTTTTATTTTCCCCCTCCACTATTGATTGGCTGCACTTTTGGGATTTCTAATCAGCAACTAGACTTGGATTGGAGGAGAACATCAATATAAAACTCCCAAGGGAAGAAAAAAGGATTGAACCAGGTTTCACAGGCAAAATAAGAGAGTATGTATAAGTAGCATTTCTATTTTAGGTAAATCAGAGATAATAAATCAATAGGGTTCCCCCCCCTTTTTTTTTTAAATTCCAGTTAGCAGTTAATCAGGTTTTGTAATGAACAGCTAATTCTATTGGATCTTTGATGTATTCAAAAAGAATATGTTATTGCAGTCACTATATGTTACTTATATAGAATATAGGTTTTTTAAAATATATTTTAACATATTACAATATTCGTTGATGATAATTTGTGCTAATTTAAGCAATTTCATATATTGTTTGTACATTTTACACTAGTGGAGAAGACAGTGTAGGCTGACCCTACTGTTACCTCATGCAGCTATTCCCAAGACCTTAACTCTGATTTCTAGGGCACAGCCCTCTTTCCCAATGCTTACATGAATAGAACAGTTATGTACTGGATGCCAAATAATTACATATTTAGACATATAAATGTCTAAAGACATTTGTATAGCTAGATCTCAAAGAAACAAACTATGGGATGTGTGCAAAAACAAACCAAATAAACAGTACCATACAATCTGGGCTGTCACGGGCTGTGGGCTGAATGCATCATGTGCTGGCCACGCCCATGCCCGGTTTAGCAAGAGGGGGAGTCACAATACATCACGTCACATTGCCGTGACAATGTGGGTTTGACACCCCTGACCTAGGCAATCTTTTATGAAATTGCTTATGAGCCCCAAAGTTATAACAGAAAATATTAATTTCTTTTAATTCGTTCTACACATTGTTTTGTTTACATGAGGCTATGTAGACATAAATATGCAATCAATTTTTTTGGTCTTATTTTCAGGTGGATTAATTCATAGTTAATCCAAGTAAGCAATTTAATCTCTCTTAACTATAGACCGTTCATTATCAAATCTTACATAGTACCAAAAATACAGAAACAACTGCATTTATTCACTGAGAATCAGAAAATGCAAAATGATCAGAACTGATAAATAGGGGTTGTTCTGATCTTTCTAGAAATAATCAGGCTCCAAAGTCCAATTTCAAACACCTTTAAACTGGACTCTTTACATCTCAAACATTTTTCCAGCTGTTTATAACAACTTGCCTCAAATTTAAATCATCCTAACTTGTAATTCAGTATTTCAAAGCTTTACAATTTAAACTTACATTTATTTTAAATGTAAATATTATAAAATTGAACGTCTAAATCATATTTAAGTTGCAACCTGTTAAACATTATAATGGTCATGAGAAGATATATGATTATTTATGAAATAAATCTAGTCACAATTACAATTTCAAATCTCTATGTTTTCTGAGAGTGCTTAATGACGTTTCATATAATCATGCTGATTCATTAAAAATTCTTGTTTATTAATCTACTATTCATCAATACTGAAATGATAATGAGCTATTTTTGTTAGGTAGTCTTAATGTTGCTAAGATAACATATTGGATATATTTTAAATACCAGAAAACTCTATAGAAAAATTAAGGATAACTTGAGGAATTATCCTATGAGAATTCCAATAAAAGCTGACATGATTTCTGTCTCTTAAATTACTATGTGGACTAGGAGACAATTATTCTTTAGATTACACATTTCTCGAATTTGCAAGAGTTCTTAAATCAAAGCATGAATGAAATCTTTCTATCAGCTCCCTAAAGAGGATTGGAATCTATGTTGTGGTTTTTAAGAATTCTCTTTAATTTTTCGTTCTGAGCCATTCTAAAATTTCTACTGCTTCCCGCCTGAAGATTTGTTCTAGTTTCTCTCCATAAAGGGTGATCGTGTCTTGTGATTACTAGCTGATGCTTAGGGTTATATTTTGTTAGACTGCCAGATGTGTGCCCTATGTAGTGGTGATTACTGACTTCGCATTTTATTTTGTACAGAAAGTCCTTGACCTATAACCATTGATTCAGCGACTGTTCAAAATGATGCCCATGCTGAATGAAAGGACTTTTTTACTTTTATTTATTTAGAAAATTTATATTGCCGCCTACTCACACATGGCAATTTAGGACTGGACACCACAATTACAGCTGTTGCAACACCCCTGTGTTCATGTGATTGTGATCTGAGCACTTGGCAACCCATTCACACTTAATGCCTGGTCACCAAGTGCCCCACAATGATCTGATCAAATTTGCAATCATCCCTGCCAGCTTCCCCAGAAAGTCAATAGGGAAGCCCGCAGAGAAGTTCACAAACCACTTCTGTCTTCTGAGAGGATTCTCTCTTATCTCTGGGGGATGGCTAAAATGATCTGGGTCAAAATCTTCAGCCTGAGGGGATTTTCTGCCCCAGAAAATCTACTGGAGAAGACTCTCTGAGAGTAGACAGTCCCTCAGAAGTCTCTCAACTCTGAAGCTGAACATTCAAGTGGTTTCAGGGCTTTTGCACACTCGCCCCAACCCCCCCCCGCCCCCCGCCCCCCCACACACATATCCTCTGCTTCCTCCAGGGGTGAAATCTACTTACCTTCCTTACCAGTTCAGAAGTGCACGCGCCACGTGCATGCTCAATTTGCTCACACGCATGCATGCGTCACACATGCGTTAAAACCAGGAAGTAATGACCCCTGGGCGGGTGGGCAGAGCTTCACTCCACCATCGCTACCGGATCGCCGAACCAACGGCCAAGATCGCTACCAGACCGGGCGATCTGGTCTGATCCAGGAGCATTTCACCCCGGCTTCCTCCCATACCCAGCAGACTCTTGCATTTTCCTTCAATTTTCCCACTGATTTGATTGTGGGAAGCTGACAAGATGTTGCTTCACCTATGGATCAGGGCATTCACTTAACAATGGGAACTGAGACTGTTTGGATTGCAGTTGCTAAGCAAAATGGTCACATTTTATGACTTGCTTGACAATGGCAATCCCAGCACCAATTGCCATTGTAGGATGAGGATTATCAGCAGTATATGACTGCGAATTTGTCTTCATTTTGATACTATATCCCTACATTGCACAAAATATTTTCATAGCTTTGTTGGAGTACGTTACATTTGTTTAGAGTAGCCTGCTGGTGGATCCTGAAACTCCTTTGATGTAAGGTTGGGTTATACTTGGTGTGTTATACTTGATGTGTGTGTGATATTCATGCTATATTCAATTAGGTTGATCTGAACCTTTTGATGAAAGCATATGGTTATCTGTTATGGTGAAGCATGACTTGTAAGTAGTTTATTTCTGTTTGGCCATTCATTAACCATTCTGGCTAATGAATGGCAAAAAGCAAACTCAATTTGAAGCACTATATAAGCCACACTGAGCTCATGAATAAAAGCTGGGATATAAATTTAATAAATAAACTCACCGATCCACAGCTTCTACATCAAAGCAGAATCTCTTCTCTATGGAATCAGTCTTCCGTCGAGTGCAAGATTTGAGAATAACAGCTTCGTCTTCTCCCTGGCAGGATATTAAAATAGCATATTAGGTCAATTCTTTTCTTTTTTTTAAAGCCAATCTGGAAGCAACCTTGTTTTCAATGCCAGAGGCATTCACTTTGGAACCAGTATTTCACCCCATGCTGATTATCAATTAAAACTAGGTAATAAAGAAAAGGATTTGTATATCCTGTAAGATACTCTTTGCAAAATGAGAAACAAAAGATTTATTTAAACCTCATTTAAATCTATCAATCTTAGAAGAGATAAGAACATAAGACAGCCCTGACAGATCAAAGCTTTATCTAATCTTGCCTCAAAGAGTGTTTACCTGTTTAGCCAACCCAAAGCAAAACTGGAGAATATCTCTTACATGCTCCTAGCTTTGGCCACAATGGAACATTGTCTCCAGCTCTGAACCTTCCATTAATTTTTATACTCCCTTTTTTAAAAAAAACCATGTAAGGTAATGTCCAACATTATAATATCATAAATCAGATCAGCAAAAGAACATGCTTTTAGGCTACTATCAACCTACATTTTAACTGCACCTATCAACCACAACCATGTCAATATTCTTTAATTCACTTTGCTTAGAAAGGCGGTCCTTTTTTCCCCTTCTTTTGCCCTATTAGGATTCTTCTAAAACCTGAAGGGTCTTCCCTTTTCAGTAATTACAATCATGGCACAGAAAGAGTCATCTGAGATTAACATAATACAGGTAGTCCTCGATTTACGACCACAACTGAGCCCAAAATTTCTGTTGCTAAGACAGGCAGTTGTTAAGTGAATTTTGGCCCATTTTATCACCTTTCTTGCCACAGTTGTTAAGTGAATGACGGCAGTTGTTAAGTTAGAAACATGGTTGTTAGGTGAATCTGGCTTTCCCATTGACTTTGCTTGTCAAAAGGTCATAAAAAGGGATCACAGGACTCCAGGGCAGTGCAACCGTCATAAATATAAGTCAGCCAAACAACTGAAATTTCTTCATGTGATCAAGGGGATGCTCCAATGATCATTAAGTGTGGAAAAACAGTCATAAATCACTTTTTTCAAAGGATCACTAAATGAACTGTTATAAGTCAAGGACTACCTGTACTTCTAATGGTCTGTATTCTTTTACCCCTAATTATACAAATCACAATGTTTTTTTTCAATTGCTGGAAAAAGCAATTTTTAATCTAGTTCTGATTGTAGCCCAACCCACAGAAAGGAAAGTAAATCTGCTCAATCACTAATCAGGCAATGTTCCACTTCTGTTGTTGGCTTTAGTCCAATTCACAGATTCTTAGAAAGACCTGGCAGATGAGAGCTCAAATGGCCTCTAAAAGATACACAGATAGGGAAGTGCCACAAAATGAAATAAACATTCCCAGACCACGAATCATGGTCCAATGCCCTTAGAGGAACACCTGTGTATCCCATTACTAAAAGCATACTTGCGAAAAGCTATTCATTGGGATGTGTCAAATAATGACTTCGTTTCAGGAAATGACTTGACTGAATAAGAATAACAGGAATATTATTTCAAACATAGTACCTGCAAAGTTTAGAAGCATTGCCAATGCAAAAGCAGACAAGTAAAAGGCTGCAGGGCAAAACAAAGTGAATATAATAATTCATCTCATCCCTTTAAGGAATTAATATAAACAGCAAGTGCCTTGAGACATCTTCGTGGTATTACATTAATTGCAACAAACCTGTTTAGGAAACAAATTACTACGTTGGAATCTTTGTATTAAATATTTAAAAGCTTTTTATGTGGAGCTCTCTTTTTTTCAAGTAAGATTCTGTTAATTTTTTTTTTCAAAAAAAGTTCTTTTCTAGGATAATGCTCAAATGAAGAATTTGCGGAAGGTAAACTGAGAGAGTTTGATTCTATTTTTTCAACATGGTGCATGTGCACAGATGCAAGACTTTATACGCACACACATTTCCAAAGATAGTCATTATATATGTACCTACATGCACATCACATATAAATATTTAGAGAGCCGAGGTGGCGCAGTGGGAGCCGAGGTGGCGCAGTGGTTAGAGTGCAGTACTGCAGCTACTTCAGCTGACTCCTAGTTCAGCAGATCAGTGGATCAAATCTCACCAGCTCAAGGTTGACTCAGCCTTCCATCCTTCCGAGGTGGGTAAAATGAGGACCCAGATTGCTGGGGGCAATATGCTATTTAGTATACTGTCTTTGGTGTAAGCCGCCCAGAGTCCTTGGAGAGTGGGCGGCATAGAAATATGAATAATAAAAAATAAAAATAAAATAAGATATATATGCAGAACATAATGATAAGAGAAATGGTGCAAAGAACATTTTGATAAACAAAGAAGCCTTGTTAACCAGAAAGTATCCTTGTGTCTGATATGCACAATTATGTACTCTTTTTTTGACTTGTGAATTGTGTCCTAACGTTAAGATCAGTAGATTTCAGCACATTCTCATTTTCCTATCATTATAAAGATGCAGATACAATTAATTCATATGAAAAATGAAAGAATTTGTTTATGCCTAGAAATATATTCCTTCATATTGAAAGAAATAATAACTCTATTTAAATGAAATGATTAATAACTTTGGTCAACTCCATTTTAGTTTAAATGTTTAGTTTAGTTTAAATAAACATAAGTATTTCCATGACAAATCATCTGCATTTTTACTCACCCCCTTTCCACCAGACTTCTGGTCAAATGGCACCATCGTTATTCGTTTGGATTCACTCTGATATGTGCAGTAATGCTTTACCCAGGATGTCCCAAAATGACCTAGTCAGAATAAAAATGAGTTATATATTTCAGGTATCATACAAATGCAAGCTAATTTTAATGGAATGTACATCTTAACATTTGGAAGGATGGAACCAAACTTGCTGCACAGGCTACAATTCATGATATGATTGAAACCTTTATTAAGAGTGTGAGTAAGGTTCTAGAAGGCAGGATGTTCAATATTAAGCAACCAAGAACACAGAGGCATAATCTCAAACTGACAGGAGGGAAGTTCAAAAGTAATATTAGAAAGTATTACTTCACAGAAACAGTAGCGGAAGCTTGGAACCAACTTTCAGAAGAAATAGTGGGTGAATCATCAGTAACTGAGTTTAGACATGTTTAGGATTAATGCATGTCCATTATCTGACAAAAATTAGGAATAAAAAATAAAATAAAAATTAATAAAATATAAAAATGATAAATAAAATAAAAAGTAAATAACAAATAAAACAAAAACTTAAAGGACGGATTTACTGGACCACTAGGTCTTTTCCCGCCATCAATTTTCTATGTTTCTATATCCGAAATACTGAAAATCACAAATAAAGGGCACTAATCCTTATTTGAATTACTCTGTCAATTTCAGTCCGTGAAAATAAAAGGGAGTAATTCCTATAATTTATCATCTTTTTTTAGTAAATCTAAAAAATAATCTCCAAAGGGGGGGGGGAATACTCTGGAAGAAAGGTATATGAGATGCAAAAGGGAAACTAACTGTGCAGGTTAAAAATACAATTTAAAATCAGGAAAAATATTAGTTTTCCTTGAAGGTAGTATACAGTCTATTAACAGCGGTCCTCAACCTGATATTAGATGGAATGAAAAGAGCAGAGATTCTCTTTTAATACTCACTGCAGCTTTTTGCTTTGCAACAACTTTTTAGATACAGGTGTTGATATTATTTCAAATATATAATTAGACTAGCTACTTTCAACTTCTGTTACATTATGTAGACCTCTCCTGAAATGTAAGTTTCATAAGGATCTTATTTTATTCTTGCTAATTAGAGTTAGGATAAAAATAGCAAGAAACTGTAAACTGGTTGCAGTCAACGTGGTTGAAAGCTCAAGGGGATAGCAATTCTTCTGTAAGTGCAAACATATTGCAACAAACTATTTAGAAGGGGGAAAAGTAAAATCTGTTTTAGCCACATAATTTCTATTTCTCTTAACATCAATAAAATTCAATTGCTTGATGCCTGTTCATCTTTATAGTAGTTGGGAACTTCTGGCTCTTCTGATGCTGCTCTATCTTTTGGTAGTCTGGAAATCCAGCTAATGCTTCTGCATGCTAGCAATTGTGTTGCAGCAATATCTACAGTATAGGAGTATCTCCAAACTAGCCAAAAAAGATTGCAAGGAAAGATATGAAGATATTAAGCAGTTTTACATATTGTTATCCTAGAGATTTCACAGTGCAGTAAAAAATGTTATCTGAAGTAAGCATAAATTTAAGTAAGCATAAATTTTAATTGGGTGTATTTTATGGGTAAGGGGTTTTAAATTGGAGAAGCCAAAGATAATTTAATTTTGTTTTTAATTGAATTTTAATATTTGTATTGTGTGTTTTAAATTTGGCTGTTCACCGCCCCGAGTCCTTCGGGAGAGGGGGCGGTATAATTAATCAATCAATCAATCAATCAATCAATCAATCAATAAATGTACTCACGCTTTTCCTGAACATAAAGGTAGCCCTCCATGGTGAAGGGGCTGATGTTTTTGTGCTCATGAGGATTCTCCTTCATTTTCTTCATCAAGGATTCAACTTCTGACCGGGTGCCTTCAAAACGGTTTCTTGTCTGCATTTAAAGATTAATGGAAAATGAGTAAAAAATATTTCAGCCAAGCTTTAAATGCACAGAATACTATTTAAAGGTTAAATGAGAAACAAGACTGGCCCAAGAATGAATGCTACCTGAGGCAGAACTGCAAATGAAGAAGACCCATACCAACCAGATTTTTCAGTGATATGAGACAGAACAGCCTTCAAGAATTTCATCTCTAAATCAGAAGATGTCCAACAATTCTGAATTAGCAGGTAACCAATGGCTTGTTGGTTTTTCACAGCATCAAAATCTGTTGCCTTAGGTGGGTTGCCATATTTTCCCTAATACCTTTACTAGTTAGAAATAACATATGGAAAGTCTCATGCATGCATTTGGCTCACAACTTGATTCAACTGACGTGAAAGCTGCATGTTTTAAGCCAATATGTTGCCATATATCCATTGTATATATCAATTTTTATGATGCCTGTCAATTAGTTGTTTTCTCCAAATAGAAAACAGGTACACATAGAGTTCAGTTAGAGCAGAAGCATAAGATTTTGCCTTATACCAGTCAGACCACTGGTGAGTCTAGTCTAATACTAGTAGTAGCAACTAACAGTGGCTCACTACAGCAGCGGTCCCCAACATTTGCAGCTTGGCAGCCCGGCTTGGGGCGAGAGGGAAACCCGACCACACAAGTGGAGGGCTGGTGCACATGTGTGCATGAAGCTCCACTTGCACGAGTGGCGGACTGGCACATGGCTTGGTTCCGAATAAGCCAAAGCCTGGTAGTGGGCCGCAGCCTGGGTGTTGGGGATCCCTACACTGGAGTGTCATGCTGAAGTTTCTACACACTAACTAGAAAGGCCAATTGGGGTGGTTTAATTGACCTACCCCAAAAATAAATTTACTGTTAGAACATAATCTTGTTGTTACTTCTTAATCTTGACATGTATGTTCAAGGTTAGAATGCATGGACAATAGTATTGTAAATATAGGCTGTAGTAGGATTCATTTAACCTTTCCATACATTATCAGTTTCTTTTAAACTACATCCAGGCATCATATATTTATATAAAGCTTTGCAAAATATAGAGGGCAAGAAATATTAAGACAACTGAAAAATGTCTATGAAATATAACAAATCACAATATTTTGAGAATTTTGAGCGAGATTTTGAGGGACAATAGCTATTAGAAACTCCTAAGCATATTTTTTTTCAAAATGGAAAAAAAAAATCTTTTTTATTGATGAAGCATGTTGCCAGTATAAGAAGAGAGTAAATATTTACATTAAGTCCTGGCATCAATATTCAGGTCTTTTTTTTCTCTCAAAAAAAATAATAATCAAGAGTTTAGGTATGTTATGAATTTATAGGACATTTAAGCTTGTATTAAGATAAACATCTGATTCATAAGACAAAAGTAAATATGCTATTTTGAAATTGTTTGCTTAATCGCCAAATTTACCAGTCACCAATGGAGGAGGAGGAGAAAGAAGAGGATTTTGCTTATAGTTATTCAAATTAAACTTTTTATTAACATAGGAGTCCCTGTGGGTTTTACTCCGCTAGTTGTGGCCAACTATAGGGGGAAGTGGTCATCCCCATTTCAAGGCCAATGAGCCAGCACTGTCCAAAGATGTTTCTGTGGTCGTGTGGCCAGCATGACATTACAGAACTCAGACTGAAGTGGTACCTATTTATCTACTCGCATTTGCATGATTTCAAACTGCTAGGTTGGCAGGAATTCAGGCGAGAACGGGAGCTCACCCCATCACGTAGCACTCAGTTCTCAAACCTGGGCTGCTTGCTTTCCAGCCAACAAGCCTAGCACTTTAACTGCTGAGCTATTATGCCACCCCTTTTATTAACATAGCAAAATATGCTTGGGCAAAAAGTTGAAGAATAACACTTGAAAAAGATCCTTTATCTTCAATCAGTGTTTCTGCTTACATTTTGTATACTGATTGTCAGCTCTGTCTTGAAATCACTGAAATCCTTTGCAAGCTCATAACCATGATGGTAGAATGTGAACAGCCCTTGCAGAAATGCCAGCAGCTGCAGGGGAGGAAAAAACAAAACAAGGAATTGAATTACAAGAACTTTTTGGTTTCTTTTTATGTAGTAGAGGGCAATTGCTCCTGTCCTCTTTCTTCCCACCATAAAATCAGACAGGATGCCATGGCTGCAGTCCATTATGCATAACACAGAGTAATTTCTGCTAAACTCATTGGGATTGCTTTCTGAGTACACTTTATACACTACTTTATAACTGCACCAACAACGAAACCAAAAATTTAGAGGGTGGATATCCAGGGATATGTTTACGAATGGACTGGCAGAAATATTATGATTTAAGTTTTTAAAACTACGCATAATATTCCATTCTGTATCTCTTGAATCATCGTTTCAAACCACTTTTAATTCTCTGTAGATTCATTATGGAAGGTTAACAATTACAGAAGCTCCTCTCTTTATTTCTTAAGGGTGAAACTCAACAAACATTCAAATCAGATTGAATTTATGTCTATGCATGCTTATTTGATAGTAACTCCATGAAGGATGGAGAAGCTTTTTGCAAATAAACATATAAAATTATCCCAAATCTTACATCATCATCGTCATCATCACCATCACATCCCACATTTATTTAGTGCAATTCAAAGTGGTGTACGTAATGTTCCTGCATCCTATTTTCCTCACAGCAACATGAGGTGAGGTGAGGTGAGGTAGAATAATTGTCCCAAAGTCACCAGCCAGCTTTCATTCCTAAGGAAAGACTATAATTCCAAATCATTTTGCGATTGTATAATCTTTGGACTTTCTAAAAGTTTTTTTTATACAGAGGGAAACAAAATATTGGCCAGATCTAAACAATTTTTAACACCTTCAGCCCATTTATGTCACTATAAGACAAATAAATACATAAATAAGTTTCCTTGTGTGTCTAATCACACTTGGAATAAAATAAAATAAAATCCAATAAAATATTCTATCTATCTATAATATACATATATAGTTATGTCTTTTCTCTCAGATAACTGAGAGGAGAATTGGGCAGAATAACAAGAGAAAATCAGAAAAAGCAATAGCTTCCTTCAAGCATTCAAATGTACAAAGCATTGAAAGGAAACTAGAAATGCCTGCTATGCTTCATCTATTCTATGCCCTTTCCATTCTCAACTTTTCTGCATCTACAGAGAGGTCAGCATAAGAAAGCTGCAGCCCTTTTCAACCACACTCAGCTACAATGATTTGTTAACCAGAAATCCTGCTCAAAGTTCTTTATCGCATGAACTATTATCTATTAATACAGAATCGATTATTCACCTCATATATTTAAATTTAAGCAACCTATTTGCTGTACCCAGTGCCACCTGCAGTTCAAACACACAAATGACATTAAAGTAATAAAACACGTAAAGTAGAAGGCTTTTTGTCTTCAAAGCTACAGGAAGGAAGGAAAGGATTCCCACCCATCCTTCAATAATAATAAAATATAAATAATCAGCCAAGTTGTTGAATCTTACTTAAAGTAACAGGATTTTTCAAAGAAGAGAAAGAATTCTTAATCTCTATCTTTCACCTTCCCTCTCTTTTTTTTGGAAGAAGTATACAAAATTCTTTCCAAATGCTTCAGAAATGTAAAAATGCTCGGGCAAATTACAAGATACTGGTTTTTTGTTTTTGTTTTTAAATTTGAGAGTAAGCATATGGTCTGATTTAGGGCCAACACACCATGGGGGAAATGCCAAATAATTCCCATAGCTATCTTGTTTGGAATAATGAAAAAAGAAATACAGAGATTCATTAAAAAACAAAAGCAAAACTGGAACTCATTGATTCCCCAAAAAATAAAATGCCAGCAGAGAGATGCATATAATTTTTTTCTTTTGAAAAAGAAACTTTAAAATAATGAATTTCTATTGAATAAATCTAATGTCAAAAATGTGGGTCACAAGCATCTTTACCTCAACCTTCTTCATGAGGTCACTGGACATTTTACTCAACTCAACATAATCCCAACACCATAATCCTCTGCAGATAGCTGTCAGATGTTTCTAACATTTCACAATGGGGCAAGATCCTAAACTATGTAGGATTGAACTCAAGTTCAATCATTCCTAAAGGAGGCCAATTATCTTGATCCATTTCAAACTCCTGATTACATAACATGTTTTTCTCCTCGGGGCCAAACTCGAAGAAGGCGATCCAGTTGGTTTTACTGGATATTTTGGTAATTATCAGTGATTTCATATGCATAATATCTTTCTGAATTATTTTGTTGAAATTATCTCGACATGATTTAGTGAAGCAGATTCCCAGAATGTGGTATTGAATTCATCAACCTATGACTTACAGTGCCCTGAGGGTGTCTAGTCTGATCCCCATTATATCAAATCTGATTCCTAGATAAATCATCCAGAATTTTTGAATTGGTTATTTGAGTTATAAAAATGATGTGTTTAATGCCTATGGATAAACTGAATGATATTTTAAAGATAACATGTAGCTGTCCTTTTTTTTAAAAAAAAGCAGGAATGTGCAACATAGCATGACAGTCATAGCTAGGAGGGCCTTTGCTCAACTTCATGTTGTGCACCAGTTATGTCCCTACCAGGATCGAGAGGCTATTCTTTCAGTCATTTTATGCCCTGGTTATCTCCCCTACAGACTACTGCACTCTGCATGGGGCTACCCAGGTATGTATGTATGTATGTATGTATGTATGTATGTATGTATGTATGTTATTTGTTTGTTTAAAACACTTATATATACCCATCTTACAACCAACTCTGGACACTCCCAAAACACTCCCTTCATCCCATTCCCACCAGAAGTTATCCAAAAGTGCAACCAATGCCATTTGTATCCTATCTCATATCTGAACCTAAAACCAGACTAGAAGGGGTCCAGATAAGCCATCTCACCCAAGATCTGTGAGAGAGATGGGCGGTTAAGAAGTTTGATATATAAATATCTAATTCACAGGTGGATGCACTTACAGTCCCAAGGACCCTGTCCATTTCTGCAGGTTTGACAGGATCAAACAGTGACCGTGTCGACTCCCCAGGCATCTCCAAAGGAGCTATACCACACCTGGTCCCCAACTGAGAATAAATCTGAGCCAATATTCATTGTACTCCTCCCTCCTCCAATTTCCCCTACAAACACCTTGTGAGGTCATTTTGGGCTGAAAAAGAGTGATTGGCCCAATGTCTCCAAGCTGGCTTTCATGACTTAGGCAAGACTAGAATTCATAATCTCCTGGATTCTAAGCCAGCACTTTAATGTCTTACACATATGCACACCAGTGGTGGGTTGCCCCTGGTTCGGACCGGTTCGCAAGAACCTGTAGTAAAACCAATGGGAGGCTCCGCCCACTGACCCAGACGTCATCATAAGTGGTCTTATGATGCACGATGCGAATCGGTAGTAAAGGTAAGTAAAACCCACCCTTGATGCACACATACTTTATCAATGGCCCCCAATTCTTCTCAACCATGACAGCAGAAAGTATGAGAGATCATGGATAAAGGAACTAGAGAGCACAGAGAACACTCCCATTCTTCCCTATATACTTGTATAGCAAAGTAGGAGAGGAAAAGACAAGATTCAAAGAAGATACAACCTGGCTACCTAGGCCTGTGATTAAACAGCAGCCCTTCAGTCTCTTTTCCCTGCTATTATTACCAATCAGCCAAGCAACATCACTTCTCTGTCATTTCTCCCCTAGCTGGCCAGAAATAGCTGAGTACTGAAGAAAGGAAGACAGTGCTGCACCAAAGACTAGTAAATCAAACACAGTAGTGCCAGAGAGCAATTCTGGCTCGTTCCTCTCATGAAGACTACTGAAGTAATACATTTCCATCACTTGAAATAAAGCTGCAGAAATGTAGCATTCCTTGCCTAACAAATAAATAAGAATTTCCTTTTTCTGGCTTTGTTTGAAACATCCAAAATGGAAGCTTTTCAGCAAACCAGTTTCTTCTGAACCTGCTATTGGCTTTGATGTCCCCTTCTGGAGTTTATTCTCTTTCCCCTCCCAAACTCATCTGCTTCTAAAGTTTATGGTTAGAAATATATATTTTCCAGGGTAAACATCTAAGTAACTTGGTGCTGGAGCCATGACTGATGTTCATTGTGATTATTTTCTTCTCATAGCTAAACAGATCAGTGACCATAAGATATTATTACATCCCGAGCAGATATAGCATCTGAATGTGCAACAAATCTTCGCATACAATTTACTACAATGGTGTGACATTTCAGATTCAATTCCAATTCTGCTTCAGAAATAGGGGCACAAATAAATCTATAGCTTGTAGAACAGCTACATCTTTCCCCAGATTTTATATAATTTCAGGAACAGGCACAGCTACTTGAAAGAGTTACAGACAGGTGTTATGTTTATATCCCAGCTTGCTTTGAAGCACTTTGAATCCAATCATAAGCACTGCAAAACCCAACTGACCGTAACAATTGGACCACTTACACTTACAGTAATATTCTCTTTTAATGATTTTTCTTCAGAGTTACTGTATTTCTTCAACTAAGAACATATTGGAATGAAAATGTTGTAGCAGCAGAAAGACAGCAGCAACAACAGTTCATAATTAAACAATTTCAGTATCCACCTTTCCTTACTGAGAATGAAATTAGAACCAATAGTAAATATTCATATTTGTGATATTTGGACGTAATTATTTCCATTCTGTTCACATGGAAATTGTTTCTATGCTGCTTCCTGAAGATAACTTATTTCTAGGGATGAGCAAATATTTTAAGATTAAGTTTCACTTAGGCCTTTTGTGGTTTGTAGATTGAAACAAAAATATGCATATATTTATCTTTTTTTTGCGTATTTCACTTAATGTATGCAACTCTGGGCTCACTTTTTCTAGAAGCAATATTTTAAAACAATATAGGGGGACTGGCATCTTTTTCTGAATGTAATTTTTTTTTCACCCAACTCTTATGCTTTTGCATATTTTTTTTAAACCCTCAAAACTGAAAAATTTAGGAAAATGCAAATGTCAGCTATTCTGATTTATGTATTGTTTCCTCACATATATCATGGAGATGAAAGAAGAAAAAGCCACTTTATCATTGCTTTCTAAAGCATTCACTGTAGCTTAATTTATTGTTATTATATTTCAGAGAAGAAGAAGTGCTTGACAAACCACAAATATTTACTTACTGGTTCCACAAACTCAAACATCTTTCTCTCCTGAACTTCTTGTACTTTGAAGACATACTCAAGAGAAACTTCATAAAAGTGCTGCCTGACCAGGTCCACCTGGGTGTCTGCCTGTCAGTCGTCATGTGGAAAGAAAATAAAAGAAAAAGAAAATAAAGCAAGTAATTAACTGTGAGCATTTGACATCAAGATTATACAAAGGCTGTTCGCTTGTACAGAACTTTCCCAATTAAGTATATTTAATTCTAGAAGTCTATGGAGCAAAGGGCTAAGCTCTTAAGAAAGATTGCCTTGTCTGTCCAATAGTTAATGACGTACAAACTGAAGCTGGCAAACTTCCTTAAGTGGATAGAGTGGTATTCTAAGAATCTGAGATTTCTTCAAGGATAATTAAAGATTTTTCACTGAGGTGATTGGTACAAGTTGTCAAGTTCCCATCTCAAAAATAATGATAGCTGATGGGGTCTGTTCAAACTGAAGCCCTATAAGCAGATAAACATACTTTCTGCTGCCTTCCAAATGTTTTGGAGTACAACTCCAGGAATTTTGACAATCCTGGTTAGCCATCCAAAGATTTTTATAGCAACAGAATATGGGGGAGTTCATTGGGAGAACACCAAATTGGACAAGAATGCAGCATAGAATACTCTCCCAAATCCTCTGCAAAGCAGACGCATTTCATTGTAAAATGCAGTTATTTGGTGTCAGATAAAATGATAAGTAGAAATTCCAGAGCATGGGAATTTTGAGAACTACTGGTCAAAGAATAAGGGGTTATTTTCTTATTCTTAATTTAAAAAAAAAACATATATAAGTACTTATTACAAAGATATGACCACACTGAATATGATCAGATTCATTTGGAGTCTTTTTTACTATTTGAGAAAGATGAGAATGGTGAAAATAACAAATATGGAAAATAAAAATCAAGTTAGTACTCAGAGAAAAAGAATTGCAATACTATGGGCCTAAACCTAATTATCTGGACAATTTCTTATGTAAAAGATGTCTAAGAAAGAAGAAGAATCTTTATTTCTGTTCTTTGCATACAAGAATATGTCTACAAGCTGAAACGAGTTTTTAAAATTCATGTGGGACTAACAAAAGGCAACCCACAGACAGAATATGTTTCTTTTGAAAGAGGTTTAGATCAAAAGTTTGGTACCTGTATAAGAATTTATTTAGTTCACTACCAGCAATCTAATGTTGGGCTATAAAAAACTTCATTTCACACAATTATATTATGAGCTGATTGTTAATTACTCATCTTTAATGGCATGGCTTTAATGGCTAAGATTTAGTCTCAGCCTTTCTGGAAGAAGCTCACACCTGATATGTTTATGAAACTACTCAAGTTACGACTTTCAGATTCCTAATATTCTTTAAAGCTCTATGGCAAATGGAATCACACAAGTTTTGAAACCCTTTCTGTTTCTTAAGCACCATGAATGCTGTCCCAAATGTAGCATGTTTTCAGATATCTAACACACCTATTCAATTCAATTCAGTTTATTAGTCATAGACCATAGACCAGAACAAATAAAAGCACTCAGTGAATATCCAATTAAAAATTCTAGAATAAAATAATAAATAATAGTTAAAATATTTGATGAATTCCAGTCTGTCAATTACACATGGTCTAACTATACTAAAATAACAACACACCTATGAAGTAGCTGGGTTACTCATGAAAATCAAAATCCACAGCTAGAATTATTGCAACCAACAAGCCCTTGCACTTGCATTTGCCCCTAAACTGACCATCATTCCCTTCTCAAAGCCCAATTGATGACCTAAACCTTCCGTCATTTAATACTTGAAAACTTGTAGCCTCCTGTCCCAAAGTTGTAATCATTTAGCCCCTCACTCAAAATCCCAGTGCTTGAAGAAAATACTGATCTAGGCAGTAAAGAGATTTTTATTTTGGACAAAGGTAATAAAAGCCAAAAGAGAAGGAACTCTGCATCTCTAAAGGCAGCCATTTATGTTTGAAACAAAAAGAAAAAAGAAAAAAAGAGGGGGAGCTCAAATCTCTATATAGAAAAATAGCAAACTTTAATATAAAATATGGACCACAAGATGGCACCAGTATTCAAGTATTACACAGCTTTACAGGGAATTAGAAAAGCTGTGTGGCTAAAATTGTCATCTTGATGGTCTAGAGAGCAATGTTTCTCAACCTCAGCAACTTTAAGATGTGTGGATTTCAACTGACAGAATTTCCCAGACAGCAAAATTACAGCATTCATTCTCTACCTTACAATTCCAAATCTGATGGGGGTAGACAGCTGATTTAATTAAAAGTAATGTAAACTCTAACCTGGAATTTTAGAGTGAATTTAAAGAGCTCCAAAATAAACTTGCTTCTTAACATACATACTTAAAAGTATGTACGTTAAGGCTCAACTTTAAGCCTTTCATTCAACAGCAATAAATAAACTTTTGGCTTAGTAGCACAGGCAAACAAAACAGCCAATTTCACCTCTTGAAGCTGAGATTCTTTCTTCTTGGAAGACAGATTTAAGTGCTTTTCTAATATTCCACAGTATTTCTCAGTCTCCTTGTCATACTTCTTCCTGGCTTCCTGTCAAAATACGCCACATAAGAAGCCATGAAAACAATAATGTTGCAATAATCATGCAGATATATAAAGACAGACAGACAGACAGACAGACAGACAGACAGACAGACACACACACACACACATATATATATATACTGTATGCTTCCAAATGTTTGTAATATAAATGAGTAGTCTGTGATTCAAAACTTTATGTCTCCCTCCATTGCATCATCCTCAAGTATACTGATAAGGGGTATATTTTTATTTGTGGTATCCTTGCTGTTCTTTTTGCTCTTGGTTGTTTGCTTGCAGCTGTTTCATTACCCAACTAAGTAACATCAACAGTGGCATTGATATTACCTAGTTGAATAATGAAATGTCTACAAGCAACAACTAAGCTCAGGGAGCACCAAGGACATCACAGTTCAACCTGAGATACACATATTCTCTTCTATATTTACATTTCTGCCATTTAATTAGCACATTGACATTTGCACAACTACAATTAATGTAATTAGTATGTTCATCTTTAACGTCTGTATGAGAACTCTGTTAACCAGCTTCTGGTATTCTATATTTTTGATAACAGAAAACTAGTGACTTGCTCTAATCTGGTAGTTTTATTAAAACGATTGTTGCTCTTCCAATTGTTGGAGAATTCTTAAGTGAGTTTTTTTACCATACTATGTGTGTATATGCATGTCCTTTCTTAGATGGTGCATGTGATTACAGATAACTGGTACAAAGATCTAATTGATTTTGGATATACCAGTGATCCAAATCAGGGATGTCAAACCCAATTGCATCGCGAGCCATATCGTGACGTTATCGGGATGATTTTGCCCTTGTAGAGCTGGGGTGGGTGTGGCCTGCATGGGCTGTATCCGTCCCGTGGGCCGTCAGTTTGACATGCCTGATCCAAATGATTGCAATGTGTACCAATGGTTGCTATGATGATCTTCATCTGTATGTTTCCATAAATATCACAGCCAACATAGTAAGTAATTAACTCTCAGTGACTTTTAACACATTGTTAAAAATATTGTTAGAAACAAGTAAAACAAGAAAATAACACAAAACAAAAAACCAGCAGGTAATAAACCCAAAGAGGAACAAAAAAAGAGGGCTTCAATCACACTAGCTTCGGCAAAAGCCAGGTCTTCAAGATCCTTTGAAACACTTGTAGGGTGATTACCTCAGGGGGAACCTCAGCATAGATAGTGCAGATGGTGAAGACAGGAGTACTCAGAAGGCACCAGGTTGATGAAGTGTATAGCAAAGTCAGAATAATTTCCATGCAGGTGCCAAAATAGTAAAATATTTGTCATGATTATTACTACAGACATAGTAATAGCTTTTATTGCAAATGTGCTAAGTGGATTAATTCTAATGCCTACTACAATTTTATTCCTGCTTTGGTGTCACTCCTAAGTGTTGCAGAAATAAGAAGCAGTGGAGAATTTTGTATGAAGAACTGCTGAATAAAAAAGAAACTGGCAGGAAATCATCTATCTTAACCAGAAACCTCAGGTTGTTATAGCAACAAAGTAGGAGTAGAAGGTACAATGCCTTGGAGCAGAAAAGAAAAAAACTTAAGAGCTATACCTAGCTCATTATTATTATTATTATTAAAAAAAGAGGGAGGGGGAATTCCAGGTTATGAAACTCTATCAGTAAGAATGGACACTAGTTTTCCTAATACTCTTTGCAGACTTATGCAATTCTGCTATGATGCCACTGGATGTGCCACAGATTTCTTCTTACCTCAGCTGGGAATCTTGGATGACTTCTTTATGCTAAACAGCCAAACCAATTTGGCTGTATGATAACAAAGTCAATGCTTTGCTGTCTGGTTCAGTGTTATGGTGAAAAATGAGGTATCTCTCTAGTTCCAAAGCTACTACAGGTAGTCTTCAACTTACAACCATTCATTTAGTGGCCATTCAAAGTTACAACAGCACTGAAATGAGTTATGACTAGTTTTCCGACTTACAACATCCCCAAGGTCACTTGATCAAAATTCACATGGCTGGCAACTGGATTGTATTTGTTATAATTGCATTATCCCAAAATCATGTGATCACCTTTTGTGACCTTCTGACAAGCAAAGTCAATGGGGAAGCCAGATTCATGTAGCAATTGTGTTAGTTAACAACTGCAGTAATTCACTTAACAACTGTGGGAAGGAAAGTCATAAAATGGAACAAAACTCACTTTAACAACTGTCTTGCTGAGCAACGGAAATTTCGGGCTCAATTCAGGTCATAAGTTGAGGACTACCTGTATGTGACGTGTCAGTCCTTGCCTTGGCAGTGAAAACATATTCCCTTCCCATAAACATGCTTATATTCCTTTTTTTTTTTTTTAATTTGATTTATATGCCGCCCTTCTCCGAAGACTCAGGGTGGCTTACAATGTGCTCAGCAATAGCCTTCATCCTTTTGTATATTTATACAAAGTCATCTTATTGCCCCCACAACTGGGTCCTCAGTTTACCTATGTTAGAAAGGATGGAAGGCTGAGTCAACCTTGAGCCTTGGCGAGATTCGAACCCTGCAGTAATTGCAGGCAGCTGGTCTTAATAACCAGCTTAATAACAGGGTGCCTTAAACCCCTGTACTACCAAGGCTCTGATTTTCAGCTATAATCCTTTTCTGATATTCACCTAACATATGGAAAATAGAAGTAGATTGATCAATACTCTCTAATAGCATATCGTTGTATGCTTTTGTTAATATATTAACCTCATTAATTCAATAGTCACAAACTTCTGATAAGCATTTGGTTTGCCTAACATGAGAACAAAATGGTTGACTGGCTATGTTTTTGTTTTCTGATGTTTTTTTCCAATCATAACCATCTATATCCAACCATCTTATCCAACACTTATTACCATCTATATACTATATATTACAATTGTTCAATTGCAATAACTTTCTCAATTAAAATATGCAAGATAACCTCCTCAAACACTCCTCTTTTGATTGCTGTTGAAGAAGTCTAGAAGAGGGTTGCCAAGAAAAGCTATTCAGTATCTGACAGAAAAAGCAACTGCCCATGATTCATGCACACGATACTTCAAGTGTATTTTTCAAATCTCCTTCAAAGAGGCAAGAAAACATTATCAATTTTTCCACCTACCTTAGCAGCACCAATTTGCTCTTTTCGAAATTTCTCCAGAGGTGTGATTAGGACTTCACTAGCATTTTCAATCTGCCAAGGAAATGGAAAAGAAATGCTTACAGTCTATTAAGTCTAAGCATCCACATTCCCATGCTCGGTTGCTATCATTCTCTTTAAATGTGATATATTTTTTTTCTTTCTAAAATACCTGTATGATTCAGAATTTTATACACCTTATAATTAGAGGGATCCCCTGATTTTAATATATAACAATTTGAAGGCTGAACAATTCAAAAACTGTGGTTATTTATACAGCTTCTTTAGAGAATAAAAAAAAAGTTAAGAGCGTGGAAGAGTTTCAGAAAACAGCTGATTGCTACTACTAAGTACTGTACATTGCTCATATATAACCATTCCCTTTTCTGGGTTTGGAAACTAAACAGATCAGGCTAGGATAGTATTTTGATGGGAGAGTTCTATGGAATATTATGAGTAAGGACTAGGCTGGGGAGTTGAAAAAGCATTCCAAAAGGCGGCAATGAAAAAATTGACAACCATTTGTTGTCAAAGCACGTCCATGAGGACACTGGGAGTTGAGCTCAACTTGAAGTAAATGTTGATTTTTTTAAAACCTACAAACTTATAAACTGATGGATCCCCCCCCCCCCAGTGGTGGATTGCTCCCGGTTCTGTCCAGTTCTTCCAAACCGGTAGTAAAAGCGGTGGGAGGCTCCGCCCACCTGCCTGGACATCATAATGGAGCATCTGCACATGAGCAGAAGTGCGCACGCGAGCTAAGTGCCCATTGCAAACCGGTAATAAAGGTAAGTAGAACCCACCCCTGATCCCCACCCCTTCTCTTCCTTTAGGTAGATCACTACAACACTGTGGAACATCCATAACGTCAACCCAGATGGATTTTCATACAGATTAAAAACAGGCTTTTTCCTGGGCACTGGGCTGGGAAGTGAACTAAGTTCATTTTTAGGATTTACTGAGGTAGATATCTGTGCTGCTTCAGATGTTATATGTTTTGTTTTTGCTTACATTTGTATTGTTGCTTTTAATCTGTTGCCACTCAAGGATAAATGGCCAACTATACAAAGCAAAAAAATAAATAGGTTCATAATATGAAACCCACAGAAGCACATAGCCATTTCAGTTGACATCCATAAAACTTCAAAATTAAGTTGATCTTTAAAATAGTAATGATTTCATTAGATTCCCTAAGCTTCTGAGATTTTAGTGTTTCAATGTAATGCTGCAATTCTAACTTTCATGCTTCAGACTGTTTGTTCTGTCTTTTTAGATTTCCAATAGAATGTGGATCATAGGCTGGAAATGTTTGTAGTGAAAACAACCACAAACAAGGTAAAAACTTGTGCCTAAACACAATTCTAATTCTAAAACTGTTTAAACACAGTTTAGCTTTTCTAACTTTCACCATTCAACCTTTTGCTGCTTATGTAGATTATGTAGAATATTCTATATAGAACTATAGAATATTCTATAATTACAAGAACACGGATGGTGCAGTGTTACAATGCAGTATTGCAAGCTAACTCTGCCCACTGCCAGGAGTTCGATCCTGACCGGCTCAAGGTTGAGTCAGCCTTCCATCCTTCCAAGGTGGTAAAATGATGAGCCAGATTGCTGGGGCAATATGATGACACTGTAAACACTTAGAGAGGACTGAAAAGTACTGTGAACTGGTATATAGATATAAGTGCAATTGCTATTGTTATTGCTACAAAGTCCCAACGAATCATAGAAGGCAAAAATTGTCTGGTTGAAAAGCTTTTTGTTTTAAAGCAGCTTTATCTATAACTTTTGAGGCCAAGATCACTTAAAGATACCAGAAGACTGATGTCGATGTTTGAATAGCCAAGAGTAATTCTAGGCAGAGAAATTCACCTACATTTTTTAATGTAATTCAATTAGCTGTAGAAATTCATTCACAGAGAACTGAATCACAGAAACATTTCCAAAAGTAATATAGGAGGCTCCTGCAGTCAATCACAAAGGCTGTATGTGAATTTTCTGTCTGTCATTGTTACAATCATCTCAGTAGCATCCCTGGCTTCCCATGTTTCGATTAAATCCCAAAGGAAGGCATCATGAGGGAATTCCTCCAATTGTTTTTTGTTCATACTTGAACTACCGTCAGCTTCGTCCTGTTCTCACAGAGAAATCACCATGCTTGGCAGGCAGGCAGACTTGCTAAACTTTCCTTCTGGCTAAAAAACAGCCAGCCAGAGTGTGAAGCAGAAGCAAGATCTATGAATAGCCCAAGAGATAAGAGAAGAAGCAAAAGAATGTAGGGTCAAGGTACAAACTAGCTCAAGCATTTCTAGGGAATACAGAATGAAGACAATCCGAGTCTTCTCTAAACAACTAGTTCTATATCTCAGCTTCTAGCCTACCCAGAACTACATGAGTCTCACACCAGCTCAATTCAAAGGGCCAATTTACATGAGTACAATAAGACCTCTACACCATTCCAAAGGAGCCTTTCTCTAGTTCCATGATGATTAGCCCTTTAGCTCTTTGCTTGAGTCACCATTATTCCTGCAGACTTCACCCCAGAAGCACAGATCCAAGATAAGTGGTGCCTTACCCAGCAGTACTTGCAAAAGGGATCCGGATATCTTGGTAGACCACAGATTCAGCATGATTCAGCAGTGTACTGTGGCTTCCAAAAAGCCCAATACTATACTAGGCTTCATCAAGATCGTGAGAAGTCATAGTACCATATCCTGCCGCACTGGTCAGACTGCACCTGAATTACTGTGTCTGGTCTTGATCACTGATAAAAATGGCACTGAGAACTGGAAACAGTATGGAGAAGAATGACAAAGATGATAAGGAGTTTGTATGCTCAGTCCTACGAAGAGCAACTAAGGGAACTTGGTATATTTAGCCTAAAGAAGAGAAAGTTAGGGGGAGACATGATAGCAGTCTTTCAATATATGAAAGGATGTCACAGGAAAGAGAAATATATTTGTTCTCCTTACTGCCTGGGGGGTAAGACTACAATCAATGAGTGGGAAACATTATGGAGGGAGACACAAATTTGGAATCAGAAGGAATTTCCTAACTGTTAGAGCTACATGGCAATGGAACAGCTTGTTCCTAGAGTCATGGATGCGCCATCAGTGGAGGTTTTCAAGAAAAGATTAGATGGCCATTTGTCCAGGCTGGTATGAGGATTCCTGCACTAGGTCAAGGATTTGACTACAAGACCTCCAAGGTCCCTTTCAATTCTATGATTCTATGACTTAAATCTATAGTCCCTTCTACATGTGATGCTATCAGAGACACTTTAATCCAGCTGGGAGCAAAAATGCCTAAAGAAACTGGACTGCATAATACAATCTTTGTTCTCTGAGAGCAAGACCAAATAGATTCAGTGGCAGGCAGTTTGCTGTAGTTTGCTATCCTTATTAAGCTGCCAAGATTTACTCCCTAAGGATGAATATTGCTATTCTTTTAGGCAGAGAAGTTGACAATTTGTTGAGCTATATCATGGCCATTGGCCAAAACAGGCAAGAGCATTGCAAAAATTACCCACAATTTCTTCTCAAAGCCAACATCTACCAAAGCCTAGTAAAAAGTTAAGAAAGTTGTTCTAGATCTTACTGAATAAATTAAAGCAATAACTTTTTCTAACCATAGCAGACAGACAGACCATGATCCTGACAATTCCAAAGGCCAATTAGTAGAAGATTAACAGGGCAGAAACATATGAATAATACTGCTTGCTGCCCTTTCTTTTTAAAAAAAAAAAATTCTCCCATTGAGAACAAATCTAAATGTTAACTGTGTTTATGGTCTCCCATCCCACTGACTCAATATCTTGCTCTTCTTGAGGTTATTTTTCCATTGGTAAAGTTGCTGGTAGAGGAAACTTTTTCAGACACCAAAAGGAGGTCTTTTATTATCAATTTACTCCCTTTAAAATCAGGGGGAGAGAAGAGCGAATCTATCCTATAAGCCCCTGGGACACTGCTCCCTGGACCCTAAGATGACATTCATGTACATTAAGAAGAGAAAACACATACTTATTGTATATGATTTCAGTAACATCCAAAAAAAAATGTTCCCATCATAATTTACCTTGAAGTGTTTTCCAAGTACTGATTACTTTCTATTCCTGTCCCAGAAATTACGATAAAGTCAGGGTTCCAAGCAACACCCCCAATGAAAGAAGACTCCAAGGCTTGAGTTACTTCAAAGTTCCATTTTATTAGAGATGTCATATTGGCACATCTGGAATATTATATCTAAAAGGAGGCAAGGTTCTTACCATTCGTATGCGCTCATCTTCAAGGTTCCTTAGAACAGTAGCAAATTCTTGCAGGGATTTTGCTATAAGAAATAAAACAAAGGCAATCAAGATTAGTGAATATATGTAGTCTTTTACGTGCAACCATTCGTCTGGCAAAGATTACAATGGCACTAAAAAAGTGACTTATGACTAGTCTTCACACAATCATTTCACAATCACATGTTCAAAATTCAGATACTTGGCAACCAGCATGTATTTATCACTACTGCAGCATCCTGAGGTCATGTAATCACCATTTGCGGCCTTCCCAGCCAGCTTCCGACAAGCAAAGTCATTGGGGCAAGCCAGATTTCACTTAACAATCGCATAATTTGTTTAACAACTGCAATGATTTGTTTAACAACTGTGGCAAAAAAAGGTCATAAAATTGGGGCAGCTCACTTAACAACTGCCTTGCTTAACAATGGAAGTTATGGTCCCATTTGTGTTTGTAAGTCAAGGACTATCTATAGTGTGAAAGAAAAAATTAATTTTCTTGACCAATATGGCTATGTATTTGACCTAGGAAAACAAAATAAACTAGCATAAGTCCAAGTCATGGATTGTAACAGTAACAGAGTTGGAAGGGACCTTGGAGGTCATCTAGTCCAACCTCCTGCTCACGCAGGAGACTTGTACTAGGGATTCGAACCACCGAACTGCCAACCTTTCTGATTGACAAGCTCAGTCTTAACCACTGAGTCACCTAGTCAGGCTCGTTTGGCCTACCTTTCTACCTTGATCTTTATTACCTTCCAAAAACAAGGCAACTGTGTCCTATTGAAGAGCCAACATTTAAGTAGCACTATCCATATTAGTTTTCATTCTCAGTTATTTGTTTCCATGCTATTTGAAGACACTGTGCTTTCAAAGTACTGAAATACCATATTCTAGTCTTTCCCAAGCACTCTCTTTCTTGTTACCTGTACATCTTTCTAAGATACATTCTTTGTAAGGGGACTATATATTTGACATCCATGTATGAGAACTTTAATTTTGCAGTTATCTTTTAAGCACATTTATATCTTCTGATAGGTAACTAGATGAACACACCCACATGCATGAATATATTGATGCAACATGCATGCACAAATACATCATGCCTACACGCATACCCTAACCATTACCCAATCATATACTTACACTATGTTTATATGATTTTGAATACATAGTAGGACCAAATGAATGTATAATTAGATAAAAATACAAAACATATAAAGAAAAAATGTTAAATCAGTCACCACTATCTTTGTCAAGAGGCTGATAGGGGATTGGAAATAGGTCTTTCACTTATTTATGTTTACACAGGCATTAGAAGTATATAGTGCTGTAACATTATAATGCCATAATAGTGGATTTCTTAAAAATCAGTAACAGTGTTTTTCATCCCTGCAATGGGCACTGCTTAAATGGCAGTTCATAGAAACAAGGTTTAACTTTATACAATGTCATCAACATTGTCATTTAATTTTAAGTATATGATTTATGTGCATGTATCTGTTTCCGTGTTTGCAGCCACATAGCTGAGAAAACAACAGCACCATTTGACAACCAGTCAAATCAATAACAGAACACAAAGCATTGCACAGCCCTCAAAATTAGTGACCAGTTGGCACTCATTTCAGAGCATACACAAGTATTGAAGTATGATCAGTCCATCTGGCACGGTCTATATAAAAACTAAGCCTCTTTAACAAGTGTAGGATTAAGGTAACATAATCCTCTTGTTTTCATTATTTCTCAAACAAATCAAATTCAGCGGTTTCTAAATGTGATAAGAAACAATGCAAATGGATGATATAACAATCTTGTCTCCAAGCACTAATCTTGGCTCATGTAGTAAGGCAAACATAAGCCTTTTCTGTTTGTTTGTTTGTTTTTTGGTTCTATTTTTTGTTTGGTTTGATGAGCAATGGGGAAGATTATCCAGAAAAGATAGTCTGGACTTTCAGATGAGACATTGTCTTCAACATGTACTCACAAATAGGTCTAAATAGATAAACAAAAAAATGCATCTGGTCTTAAACAAAATCTTTGGGAGCAAATAAATAACATTCATATTCTGAGTTTTGTTCGGTCATTTGTTTTCTGAGGAAGTGGATAAAGTTCTTGGAACTATTTGTGCCATTACTTTATGTTAGATCGTTCCATAGCTTGGTTTATAAGAACCTCAAAAGACTCTATCACTGAGTTTATTAACTTTCTCTTCTTTGGGTAGAGTTTCCAAACCCCTTAAAGAAAGCGGTGGTCAAGCCTTTGCATAGAGAACCATTTTTTTGGCCTGACCAAGTTTAACAATTAACGTCCAATTTTCGTATTCAGCCAAGCTAAAGGAACTCTTACAGGTGATTTTAATTTTTTCTTCTAGATTTGGACCTGGATCTGACATAGACAACCTTGATGGATAAACTGTATCATGAGAACATGAGGTGCTGCAATCCTATTTATATTACAAGATCTCTCAGTAACTTCTGACACTGGCGCCCATTTGTTTGGTACATTTGAAAGAATTGGGGAGTAGAGGTGCTACTTGCAACGATGCCTACAGCTCCAGGAGCTACCAAAAACAGATATTGGGAAAACCTTGTTCAATCCCATGCAGTGTCCTGCAAGGATTTATTTCTCATGATATCTAACATTAATATGAACTCACTGAGAAGAAGGTATAGATTTGGCCTTAGTAATCAACATGCTATTGATACATAACCATACATTTCTATTCTTGGAGCCTCTGAACATCTACAAGTTGTAAGAGACTGAATGTGAGAGGCAAACTGAAATTGAACACAAATAGTTACTATTTCTGGGACTGGATTTCAGGATTAAGGAAAAAATACTGATTCCGGACAAAGTTGTATTCCTCTTTAAGGTTTGCAAGTTGGAGGTGTTCCTGGATTCAGCATTGATGCAGGATAGCCACAAAACTTAGAGGCAAAGGGTTTAATCAGTTTCAAAGGGTACACCAATTGCATTCCTACCTGAGCACAGAGACATGGTTTCAGTAACTTACGCTAGTGTACAACTGTGTCATTGTAATGCAATCTTCATGACATGGCCCTTGAATTTGGTTTATACTGTGCAGATGTTTCATGATGCAGAGCAGCACTAGGGTGAATGGCCCCTAACTTGAAATTTTTGAACATCTTACCTGGTTTACCAGAAGTTCCTTACAAGAGCATGTAGTTATCTAATCTGCTACATCAACAACAGAGCACTATTTGTGGGTTCTACTATGGATATACTGTATTTTTTGGAATATAAGACATACTTTTTTGCCTCCTAAAAGAGGCTGAAAATTTGGGTGCGTCTTATACTCCGAATGTAACCTCACCCACCCACCAGCCCCCACCCTTCGGCCTCCGTGCATCCTCTTCCTGGCTGCAGAGACTTCCACCGACAGTGGCTTGTGTTTTTGGGCTCCGCACATCACGTTTTCAGCCTCCAAACGTTCCGTTTGAGAGCCCTTCAAGGCTGCGGGGATCGCTAAAGCACATTGCCGCTGATCGCCGTCTGAAAACATGACACATTTGGAGGCTGAAAACGCGAAACGCTGTGCCCAAAATGCTACCCAGAACAGCTGCTGCCTTCTCTTACCCCTTCCGCGCTTTGCCTGCTTTAGTCACTGGAGCTCCCTCTGACGATCAGCTCTGCTTTTGAAGCTGTTTTTCAGCCCCAACACAGCACTTGCAAGTGAAGCAATCTTCCACACTTTGCCTGCTTTTCTAATTGCTGCTCCCTCTGATGATCAGCTATGCTTTAGAAGCTGTTTTTTAGCCCCAACCAGCCCAACCTCAAAACCAGCGAGCAAACTAAGGTGCTGAAGCTGACCAGGCTAAGGATGTTAGCCAGATGAATATCTGGTAGGCAGATTTTTTTTTTCCTATTTCCACCCCAAAAGCTAAGGTGCGTCTTATAATCCGGTGCATCTTATACTCCAAACAATACGGTAGTTACTTCTACTACTAATGCTATTTTTCCCATGCAAGGCTGCTGTATATTTATTTGATTTATTTATTTGATCAATAAATCAAATCATTTCCATTTTCATAGCTTGCTTACTACAGGTAGCCTCGACTAATAATCATTTGTTTAACAACTGTTCAAAGTTACGATAGCATAAAAACAGTGACTTACATCCAGTCCTAGAGTTACAAGATCAAAATTTGAATGGTTGGAAATATGTATTTACAATATTTGTTGTGTCTCAGGGTCATCTGGTTGCCATTTGTGACCTTTCCAGGGGGCTTCAGTCAAGCAAAGTCAATGGAGGAAGCTGGATTTGCTTAACAATTATGATAAAAAAAAAAAGTTTGTAAAATCAGTGTGACTCACTTAATGATCACCTGTCTATGGAGATTCTCAATCATCCAGGTCATGGTTGTCCCAAAGGGGCTTTTTTTTCCCCAAGAGGCAACTGGACTTTCTGGTTTTTCTTTGAACACAACCAGGTTAAGGTTGTCCCACAGGTGCTTTCTTTCAAGAGGCAACTGGACTTTCTGGTTTTTCTTTGAAGATGAAGAAAAGAAAAACCGGAAAGTCCAAACTTAAAGTCTTTTGAAAAAGCACCCTTAGGACAACCATGATCTGGATGACTGAGAATCTCCATAGACATTTAGCTATGTACTTTGGGATGAACATCCTTCGAATGGTTTGGGAGTATGAACGGATTTCCAGAAAAATTGCAGACTACAGGAACCATTTGCGTTTCAGTTTGAGATGCTGCCTCAACAACTCGCTAAAAGAATGCAAATGACCAGCTGTGTACAAGGGGTATAAATCCTTCCATTCCCCACCATCCGGTCATTGCCGAAGAAGCTTCTTGGATGAGAAGCGAAACGTCTTCAAAGAAAAACCAGGAAGTCCATTGAAAAAAAGCACCTTTGGAATTAATGATCACATCATTTAGTGACAGAAGTTGAAATCGCAATAATGATCATATGCCAGGGACAACCTGTAATAATTTGCAGACATCCTTCCTAACTACTGTAGATATGTTTCACTTCATTCTTATCTATATTTCTCCTATTTAAGCCACTGAATTGTCTCATTTGTATAAATCAAAGCCTATGCACTTACCTATACATATTTCATCATCTGTTTCTGCATCGCCTATACATTGAAATTTGAAATCATTCAAGGAGTCTGCAAATTTCCGTTTTGCTGAAGACAAATCTATAAAGAGAAGAAAAGTTTTTCAGTGACAAATAATAAACCACAGATTTAGGGAACCCAATTCTAGTAACTTGTAGCAATGTCCTTAATTCTGTCATCTAGGCTAGAGGACAATCTTTGATGTAAAGTAAATAATAAAGGTTCTGCTGAAAGGAAAACTACTGATCCATAAGTATCTTTTAAAAATAGTTTTTAATAAATCCAAAAAATGAACATTATGTCATAGACAGCAAAATTGGGAGTCTTGCTTCATTACAGGCAAATCTTCAATGTTCCAACAACTTTAAATCATAATTGGCAGCACTCCTACTATAAAGGCTATCCTTACAACAAATTATTTAAAGCTGTCATGCTTGGTTAACTTTAAAAATGCACACAACTTTCAGTTCCTGGTTTTAGTAATTCTCTGAGGAAGGACAGGAAATAGAGCAGAGTGAGGATGTTTTAATAAACTATGTCCTTTATTTATTCCTATGTATCCTTTTTTTTTCGTATTTGAATAGTTCTAACATAACCATACCCGTAGAGTTTGTTATTACTGCATTTCACTTTGTAATGTTCCATTGTTTTTTTCCACAACGAAAGCCAAAGAGCTGAAACATTCTACGTGACTTTGCCAGATAATGGCAAGAATGCTCTTTTGCTATCAGGATTGAAATGTCACATAGTTTTCAGAAAGGCTTTCTGCAAAGAAGGTTGGGATGGCAGGCACGAGACAAGCATCGGGGACTTACAGAAAAGCAGAGCTAACTCCAGCCTTCATCCTCACCAATATTTGTGCCCAACTATCTTGGCAAAGTTTAGAAATTTTCTGTCATTACATCAAAGAACAAAACAGTTCTTGTTTTGTCTCGACAAAACAAAACTGACAAAACTGTCTTGACAAAACAGTTTCTTAAGGCTGCATCCCAATTGGAAGGAAGGGAGTGTACAAAACACACTTACATCTATCCACATAAGGGGAATGGAGAACGAGAGCACACAGGTACGGTACCCATGTATAAAATTAAAAGTGGAGTAATGAAGAGTTTTGTGCAAAACTTTGGCACTCATGGATAACCAATTAGACAGTATTTATTGAAGACTGATTTTGTATATAGTAACTGCAGCGAGACTATTATATGCACAACGATGGAAAAACACTGAAATATGACTGGATTATGAAAATAGCAGAATGTGTGGAAATGGCACAATTGATCTGTTTCATAAGGGATAAGACAACAAGTGGGAGCCAGTTTGGTGCAGTGGTTAAGGCATTGAGCTAGAAACTGGGAGTGTAGCCCTGCTTTTAGGCTGGATTATTTTCTCTCAGTCCTAGAAGAAGGTAATAGCAAACCACTTTTGAAAAATCTTGCCAACAAAATTGCAGGGACTATATAGCCAGTCTTTGAGAACTGGACACAATTGAATGAACAATAACAACAATAATAATAGACAACAAGTACTTAAAGACTGGAAACCCGTTTTAGACTTTTTGCAGAAAATAGGAAAAAATGAATTGATGATTTATGGATTTGTTCATTCAAGGGATTGAATATGTGAAAAAGAGAAACGTGTTGTAAGAGAGAGAGGGGAGATAATGAGTTTGTTTTAACTACTGCAAAGAAAATTGGAAACTGCTTCTCCTTTTCTTTTCTTTTCCTACCTGCAACTCTTTTCTACTTCTTTTATTTTATCTTTCTTTTTAAATTTCACTCTATGTTATTTCTTTTATGTTACTTTCTTAAAGGGACGAGTCCTTTGTTCGGCAAGGTATAAGGAATGAAACAGTGGTGAAATCTTCTAGTTTGCCACCGATTCACTGCCTGCACATGCACGGTGCGTGCAAAATGTGTGCTGCACGTGCATGTGCAGTGCACACCAAATGCGCGCTTACACGGAAAAAGAAGGCTTAAGAAGGTAAGTAGAACAGCGAGGGAGGGAACAGCTGTGCCGTGCGATCTAGATTCACTAGAAAGCAGAATTTCCTGCTTTCTAGCGAATATAAATCACACGGCACAGCTGTTCATCATAAATACCAGTTCAGATGAACCGGTAGCATTTTTTTACTACCAGTTCGTCTGAACCGGTAGCTTTTATTACTACCGGTCCCACCAAACTGGTGTGAACCGGTAGCATTTCACCCCTGGAATCAAATAATAAGGTTACTAAACGCAGAAAAAGCTAAAACTGTATGTATATTTAAGTACGAGGCCATGTTATGATGAGGGAATGAACAGATAAAAATCTATTAAATTGGTTCATTGATCAGCTGGCATTCACAGGGTGCTCTGACCCCTCACCTCTGATTGCTGGCTATCCTGTGAGAAACTGTGAAATTGGCATTCTCAATCATAGTTCTTTTGAAGATGACTGAACAGTTGAATGTGAATAGTTATAATGGGCTATGAAAAAAACTTTGGGAGACAGAAGGAAGAGCTGCAGCCTAGACAACAGTCTGAGAAGATAAATTTGAGTCTAAAAGAGAGATGTGGGTAGAGAAAGCTTCTCAGAAGGGACCCTCCCTGCTTCCCTGGAAAGTAAAGACAGGGGAGAGGAGAAGGTTTTTTGGATTACTGTAACATAATAATAATAATAATAATAATAATAATAATAATAATAATAATAATATAATAATAATAATAATGATGATGATGATAATGATGATGATGATAATAATGATAATAATAACAGCTTACATCCTCCAATGATACCTTAACAGTTCCTAGATCCTTGGTTAGGACTCGAGCTGCTGAGCTATTAACCAACCTCAAAGGCTGTGAATCTCACCAAAGATTAACCAATAATAATAGTATTAGTAATCATGGTTTGGATTTTCTGTCTGGACTACCCTAAAAGGCTGACAAAAAGAAAAATGATGAGCATGCTAGGGAAACTAGATTCAGCAGTCCATCTGCATCTGAAAAACAAAGGTCACTCTTTTGAAGAGAGCAAAGTCCACATTGTGGACAGAGAGGACCCTGGTTTGAATGAGGGGTCAAAGAGGCCATCTATGTCAAAAGTGAACAGCTCTCTCTCAACAGAAGAAGAGGGATATGATATCATCTGTCCCCAATCTACAACACACTCCTTTCAACTGTTCCAAGAAGGTGCCACACCCATTTGCACCATTCAGGTGACCCTGAGGACACAGATAAACCTCCAGGTGGTCTTAACGACTCGCTAAAAGAATACAAATGACCAGCTGTCTGCAAGGAAAATAAATCCTTCCATTCCTCACAATCCAGTCAGAGCTGAAGAAGCTTCTTGGATGAGAAGCAAAACATCTTCAGACAAAAACCAGAAAGTCCAATTGCCTCTTGAAAAAGCACCTTTGGGACAATCATGACCTGGATGACTGAGCATCTCCATAGACATGCTAGGGAAAATTAATGCATCTTGCTGATAAAACACTTATTGTACAGCGTTCAGCAAGCCCTTGTTTCAAAAGATAAAAGATAAGGCAATTATTCAAACGAGAAGGCAAAATGGATATGGAGCTATTATTATGAATAGTAATAGTTTTTCTAGTGACATCTGTCAAAAAGAGCAAAGCAACCCTGAAAAATGAATCTGTAACACAAGGAGGTCAACCGTAATTGTGTAAAAAGCAAATCAATATTAACTTCAGTTAGCCAGACTAGAACACTGGGTCTTCTGTTCCCACCAGATGTTATCTGATAAACTTAATTTGAATGGAACAACGTAATCTACTTAATACATCAAATCAGGTTAATTCCTGAATCTTTTCAAAAGCTTTAAAAACACTTCACTTCTATATTATTCATGTCAGAAAACAAACAAAAATCTAAACCCATTCTGAAATGGAAGGCACGCACGCACATTTTCGGTGCTGGGGAGAACCGGTTGTTAAATTATGCGAAGCCCACCTCTAACTTGTTTCCTTTAACCAGAACCATATACTAAACTTTTGTCTCTGAGCATTTTGCAGAGCACGGTGTACCTTTTCCTCTTCATTACACGCACACCCTACAAGCTTAGCAAAAGTTTGCATTACGCAATGTGGGCTTTTTGTCAAAAAGGATTAACTACAGAATCATTCAGCCCTGTCAGTATTTGGGAGGGATCCAATTGACACATTCCACCAGAAAAGAGAAGTGGAAAGAGACTCATATGAAGGATGCAAACTCACTATGTGATGCTTACAAAGAGGCAGCAATCCAGACTTTGCAGAATGTATGGCTTAATAAGCTCTATTACACTGACATCAGGGGTGAAATGCTACCAGTTCAGTCCGGTTTGCCCGAACTGGTAGTAAAAAATGCTACTGGTTCGCTGAACCGGCAGTAAAAAAAATTTTTAAAAAAAGTTCCGACAATCAGCTAAGTGACCCGCGATCGTGGGAACTTTTTTTTTTTTTTTACTTTTTTAGCATTTTTTACTATCGGTTCTCCAGAAAAGTAAAAAGTAAAAAAAAAAGTTCCGACTATATCGGCTCATGCGAATAGGTAGTAAAAAATGCTTTTAAAAAGTTTTTTAAAAAGGCTCCAACGATCACAGCTGTGCCGCGCAATCGTCAGAGCTTTTTTTTTACTTTTTTAAAACATTTTTTAATAACCTATTTGCCCGAGCCGGTAGTAAAAAAATGCTTTTAAAAGGTTAAAAAAAGGCTCCGATGATCACAGCTGAGGCACGTGATCGTCGGAACCTTTTTTATGGGGGTGGGGGGGTCCATTTTTGCTCCCAGCAGGCTTCTCTAAAACCTGCTAGGCCAAAAACGGGGGTTATAGGCAAAAAAGGGCGGTGGGTGTCCGTTTTTGAGAGAGAGAGGGTGGGGGGGAGAGGGGGAAAGAAAGAAAGAAAGAAAGAAAGAAAGAAAGAAAGAAAGAAAGAAAGAAAGAAAGAAAGAAAGAAAGAAAGAAAGAAAGAAAGAAAGAAAGAAAGAAGGAGGGAGGGAGGGAGGGAAAAAGGACAGGAAGGAAGGGCTACAAACCTGGCATTAGCTGCATCTTCAGAGGATAATCCAGAGCTGGAAGGGACCTGGAGGTCATCTAGTCAAA